TGTCTTCTTCTGGCAGTGAAATGGTGTGTTTTGGCTCCAAGAGGTAAATTACTTCTTATGACAAGCACTTTTCCTCCAAGCGAAGCATATTTCACTTACCCTACTTCATAGCACTGTAGGGGGTCCACAGAGATGTTAAGCAACAGGAATTCTTTGGGTGATACAGGAGGCATTGTATTAAAAGGGCATGACAGCTCTTTGGAAATACAAAAAGAAAACACTTTTAGGAGCCTCCTGAATCTTGTACATTTTGCTTTGGAAATGAATTCTTAGTTCTTGGGGTTTTTTTGGAACATATGAACCATTTCTAAGATAGAAGTCTTTCAACTCTACTTTGTAGGGCTTGTAGGCTTCTGATAAGCTTCTAAAGAGTGGTATTACAGAGATATTTGTGAGACTGGTAAAGTTTACATGGGGAAGATGTAGAATTTTCTTTGTAAAATGAAACAATATTTCAAACATATAGAAAAGAGTAGCAGAAAATATAATGAATAACTGTGTACCTGCCTCTAGCTTTTACAAATCTTAATAATATACCATAATTATAGTACATCACAATATAATTTGGTATATAAAAACTTTTTACTAGAAAAATTTCAAAAATACACTAAAGTAAATATATAGTATGCTGACTACTCATGTAGCCTTTTATCCAACTTTAACACTTATCAATGTTTTCCCAACTGTTTTTCATCTATCCTCCACCTCCTTTTCTTATATTTCTAGAATACTTTTTTTAAAAATCCTAGACTTCAAGTAGTTTCAGTTGCAGATATTTTGGTATGCATCAGTGAGGTTTGTTTGTTTGTTTGTTTGTTTTTGGTGGTACGCGGGCCTCTCACTGTTGTGGCCTCTCCCGTTGCGGAGCACAGGCTCCGGACGCGCAGGCTCAGTGGCCATGGCTCACGGACCCAGCCCCTCCGTGGCATGTGGGATCTTCCCGGACCGGGGCACGAACCCGTGTCCCCTGCATCAGCAGGCGGACTCTCAACCACTGTGCCACCAGGGAAGCCCTGTTTGTTTGTTTATTTTACATGCCCACCATGTCATTATTATACCTAACAGAAATAGTGGAAATTTCTTAATATTGTCTAATACCCAGCCCATAATCAGATTTCCCCAATTCTCTCAAAGTTTTTTTTAAACTGTTGTTTGGTGTAGTAACTTTTTTTTTATATATAGATTTCTTTCTTTCTTTTTTGGCTGTGTTGGGTTTTTTGTTGCTGCATGCAGGCTTTCTCTAGTTGTGGTGAGCGGGGGCTACTCTTCGTTGCGGTGCGCGGGCTTCTCATTGTGGTGGCTTCTTTTGTTGCAGAGCATGGGCTCTAGGAGCACAAGCTTCAGTAGTTGTGGCACACGGGCTCAGTAGTTGTGGGTTGTGGGCTCTAGAGCACAGGGTCAGTAGTTGTGGCACACGGGTTTAGTTGCTCCGCAGCATGTGGGATCTTCCCGGACCAGGGCTTGAACCCGTTTCCCCTGCATTGGCAGGCGGATTCTTAACCACTGTGCCACCAGGGAAGTCCCAGTATAGCAACGTTTTAATCATCAAAATTTTCAAACATAACCCAAAGTGGAAAGAATGGTATAATGTAACCAGTATTCTATCACCCATCTTCAACCATCAGACAGATGTAGTTTTTAAAGAGCTAAAACATTATTGTATACCTCTTCTGTTGTTTGTATTTGGTTTGTTTTATTTCTGAGAATATTTTAAATAATGTTATTACATGTAGGTAATATATAATGTAAACAATAAATGTATGGTGTTTGCATGCTTTGAACCATACTTGAACGCTGTACCTATTCTTTGGCAATATGTCTTTTTCACTTAATATCATATATTTTTAGGTTTATTTTTAAATGTTCCTTCTGTGGGTCAGTGGTTTTGACTGGGCTCAGCTTTTTCTGCATCAGTTGAGATGATCATGTATTCTTTTTTCTTTATTCTGTTAATGTGGTGTATTACATTGATCGATTTTTGTATGTTGAATCATCTTTGCCTTCCAGGAATAAATCTCATTCAGTCATGGTGTATAATCTTTTTAATATGCTGCTAAATTCAGTTTGCTAATATTTTCTTGAGGATTTTTGCATTAATGTTCATAAGGGCTATTGGTCTGTAGTTCTACTTTCTTTTAGTGTCTTTGACTTAATATCAGGACACTGCTGGCCTGATAGAATCAGTTAGGAAATGTTTCCTTGTCTTCAGTTTTTTTGAAGAGTTGGAGAAGGATTGGTGTTAGTTCTTTAAAGTGTTGGTATAATTCACCATGAAGCCATTAGGTTGAGCTCTTTGTTGGGAGATTTTTGATTACTGATTCAATCTCCTTACATTTATAGGTTTATTCAGATTTTCTGTTTCTTTGTTATTCAGTTTTGATAGATTTTGTATGTCTAGGAATTTGTTTCATCTAAGTTACCTAGCTTTTTGTCAAATGATTGCTCATAATATTCTCTTACAATCCTTTTAATTTTATAAGGTCAGTAGTAATATCTCCACTTTCATTTTTTATTTTTGTTATTTGTGTCTTCTTTCTTTTTCTTTGTCAGTCTAATTAATGGTTTGTCATTTCTGTTGCTCTGTTAAAAGAACAAACTTTTGGTTTCATTGAACTAGTATTTTTAACAATTCTCTATTTTATTTGTCGCTGCTGTAATATTTATCATTTTCTTCCTTATGCTAGCTTTGTGTTTATTTTGTTCTTCTTTTTCTAGTTCCTCTAGATGTAAAGTTAGGTTTGGATTTGAGATCTTCTTTTTTAATGTATGCATTTATAGCTATAAATTACCCTCAGAACCCTGCCTTCACTGTATCCCATAAATTTTGGTATATTGTGTTTTCATTTCATTCATTTCTAAATAGTTTGTAGGTTCCATTGTGATTTCTTCTTTGACCCATTGGCTGTTTAAGGTTCTATGTGTGTGTGAATTTTCCATTTTTCTTCTGTTACTGATTGTGGTCAGAGAAAATACTTTGTGTGATTTAAATTTTTTAAAATTTGAGTCTTGTTTTGTGGCCCAACACATGTTCTGTGCTGGAGAATGTTCCATGTCCACTTGAGAAGAACGTGTTTTTTTTGTTAGGTCTAGTTGGTTTATAGTGTTGTTTCACTATTTCCTTATAGATCTGTCTATTTATTCTGTCCATTATTGAAAGTGGGGTATTGAATACTGCAACTGTTATTGTAGAACTATCTATTTCTCCCTTCAAATCTATCAATGTTGCTTTTTATATTTTGGGGCTCTGTTGTTTGGTGTATATATGTTTATAATTTGTATATCTTCTTGATAGATTGATCCTTTTAACAATATATAATGTCCTTTGTGTCTTGTTATGGTTTTTTACTTAGACTATTTTGTCTGATATTAGTATAAACACCTCAGCTCTCTTTGGGTTACTATTTGTATGAACTATCTTTTCCCATTCTTTCACTTTCAGTCTATTTGAGTTTTTGGATCTGAAGTTTGTCTCTTGAATACAGCATATAATCATATTTAAAAATCTCTTCTGCCAATTTATGCTTTTCTTTTTTTTTTACTGAAGTGTAGTTGATTTGCAATATTATATTAGTTTCAGATGTATAGAATAGTGATTCAGTATTTTTAAAGATTATACTCCATTAAAAGTTATTACAAGGTAATGGCAATGGTAATTCCCTGAGCTATATAATATATCCTTTTTGCTTATCTGTTTTATACATAGTAGTTTGAATCTCTTATTTCCATGCCCCTAACTTGCCCCTCCGCCCTTCTTTCTTCCCTTTTTCGACCACTAGTTTGTTTTCTGTTTCTGTGAGTCTGTTTCTATTTTGCTGAATAAAAGCATAAGAAATACAGGAAACTAACAAAAAGGCGGAAGTAATTCCTTCTTTATCATTAATCACATCAAATATAAATGGATTAAATTCTACAATTTAAAGGCTTAGACTGTATTATTTGCTGTTGAACCCCTTTAGTGACTTTTTCATTTCATTTATTGTACTTTCCAGCTCTAAAATTTGATTGTTTTTATAACCTATTTTTAAAGTGATTTTCTCGCTTTGTTCATATGTAGTTTTCTTGATTGCTTTAGTTCTTTTTCCATGTTTTCCTTGATCTCTTTGAGCATATTTAAGACAGCTGTCTAGTAAGTTTGATGCTTGCGTTTCTTCAGGGATGATTTCTGGAGATTTGTTTTGTCCCTTTGAATGGGCCATCCTTTGCTGTTTCTTTGTATGCCTTGTGATTTTTTTGTGTGTGCAAAACAGACATTTGAATGTTGCAGCTCTGCAAACCAGATTCTTCTTTTTCCTCAGGGTTTGCCTTTGCTTTTTTTTTTTTATTGTTGCAGGCTGTAACAGTCCATTTGTTTAGTGACTTTCCAAATTATTCTTGCAAAGACTGTTTTCCTTGATGTGTATGTTCTCTGAAATCTCCGCTCCTTAGCTTAAGTTCAGCTAGTGTGTTGACAGATATCTCTTGAATGCCAGGAGCTAAAAACAACAAGAAAATAAGAAAAACCAAAACCAAACAATATAAATGAAAAATGTCTCTCCCAATCTTTGTACCTTGGCTTTGTTCTGGGATTCTCCTTCCACACTTAACCTGGCTTGCACTGAGCCTAGGGACTGGCCCAAGGTGAAAGATTGGAGTCTTCTCAGTTCTTTTCTGAGCATGTACCTTGCCCTGGGCATGTGCACACCTTTGTAAATTCCCACATATACACAGGTGCTATTGAATGTCCTAATTTGCCAAAGAAATTCTCCCCAACTTTTGCTCCTGGGACTTAGGCAGTTTATTGTATATTTCAACATTAATCTTTGGCCCCAGGTGTCAATGGGCTGTTAGTTGGGCTTCCAGTGTTTTTGAATAATGCCCCTTGCTTTTCTGGCCTTAGTTTGAGTTAGGTGAAAGGGAGATAAATACCTTGCATCAGTACTTCAGATAACCCCCCAGACAGGTTAGAACAGACATACACAATAATTTGTAAATAGACTCTGCTTTGTTTTCTCTTGGACCAGGAACCAGAATCCCACACTGACCATGGGCTACAACTCCTGCCATGCCAGAGAAGGCTTGAGGTAAGGACAAGTAACAACTCCACAAAGCTTTCCCACTGTTTTGAAGTTGCCTTTTTCCTCATTCATTGCCTGCTTGATTGCTGTAAACCTTTGACTGTTTTCCAAAGTTCTGAGACAGTTGTTTTTCATAGTTTCTGCTTGTTTTTTTGATGTTTCTGTGGGGGAATGAGAGCTTGGAGCTGCCTACTCTGCCATTTTTTTCTCTAAGTTGTATCATGAAGTTCCTTTTAAGGGAAACTTCCCACTCATTGTCCCTAAAGAAGGGCTATTCTTACAGAGGTCAGGTGACTCTACCCCCTTGACCATAGTTGTTGGGACCATGGAATGTGTACCTGGTACATAGCTTGGCTTGAAAATATTTTGTTAGTAAAACAGATTACCTTTCTTGGAAACCTGAACTGAGAAAATGAAGCAAATAGTATAAGGAACTGAGGCTAAAAGCATGTATGTCGGGAGGTCTCATGATTTAGAATCAGCAGTCAGGGGGCCTCATGGCAGATTTCGAGGAAGCAGATATTTAGGAAACAGATATTGAGAGCTACAGAGAAGCCATAATTAAGAGATGATGTGGCTGGTGAGAGAAGAGATAACAGCCAATCCCCAGATTTCCCTTGGCTCCCAATGTCTTTCCGTTTCCAGTGCCTGTGTATCCTTAAACAAACTCCAATTGTCGAAGTTCCTTGTATGATTTCCTGTTTTTCACAACCTGTAGAACTCAGTTGGAACCTGGCACCGTCCTCAAAGGCTTCCATAACTACTCAGACTTTTATGAAATATGTGTGAGTCACCTCCCTAGCATGGCTTATATTTCTCTTACAAGGCCACCAACATAAATAATGAAAAGGAAAACATCAGAGCAAATGTCTCCAATGAAAGCAACTCATGTGAAAAATAGTTCACAACACCAGATATGACTGGATTCATTCATCCTTAAAAAATAAGCAGTTGCCCTCTGTGTTTTTTGTTTGGCCAAATTCAAAGCGTAGTAGAAATTTGAATTTATCTTTGGACCATGTAAATTTCTCTTTTTCCCTGCAATGGAGTACCATAGTGGAAAGGCTGTGTATGAAAAGATGGTAGATACACCTCAGGCAAGCTTCTTCAAGAAGAGTTACAACTGTATTTACTCAAAGGATTGGCATGGAGAAGCACATAAGGAAGGAGACAACTTCTTTCTAATAGGGTAGTGGAGACAGAAGGCAAAATAGGCACTAAGTTAGACAGTTGTTCTGTGTTTGTTTTTTGAGTAGAAGAGGGAAATGTGCTCAGAACAGCTGTGTAATACTGAGGGTGAGTAATTATACTGCCTACAAAAATGCCCCTGCTATTGCTGTTATAAGAAGCTTCTACAGTGGGTGAGACACCAGAACCAGTTTGCCTGCTTACATGCTGAGTCAAAAAAATGGAAGATCCCTTGGGGAGATTTGAGTACTCAAATGATTCTCGTGGAAGTGCTGCTGATTGAAAAGTGGCAGGTGGTATGTTCACACTGGGATAAATGCCTTTTGAGTCCATCGACATGCACCTTAGGGGCCCACGTTTGAATCAAGCTGAAGGGACACAAGGGGCATTTTTCCTCATTTTATTATCAGAAATACAGTTTAGGTAAATGACATGGAGTAGTGTTTCTTAATCATTTTTTTCCAACTCATTTCTTTTTTTAACAAGCATAAAAATCTCATGCCCTCCATTAATGTTATTTCAAATTTCTAAGTAAATTAAAATGTGATTTAAACTAAATCAGTGTAAAGAGACAAAGGAATACTTCATTGTCCCACTAAAGACTGATCCTTTTAAAATCACTAAACAAGATAACCAAGTTATCAAGTTGAACTTGCACGTCAATTTATCAAGTTATCAAGTTAATCAGGTTCCTTGAATGCTCTAAACATTCTGTAGCCTTCATGTTTGTCTCTTGTGCTTCTCTATATAGATAGAGACCTGTATCATATATATATCACACCTCTCCTGAGAGTTATAAAAGAGCACAAAATAGTTGTTGTTAATACATTTGTGAAACAAGACTTTCACATCTAAGTTAGGTACCATTACAGAGTTATGATTCTACTTTGAATCAAGGGAAGATGATGTAAGTGCCAGAAAAAAGGCATAAACAACTACTATTGGAAGGAAATGATAACGGTAAGTTGTTTATGCCAGAAAAGACTTCTCAAGGTGGGTTAGAGTTGTCCTAGGCCTTGAAAAATTAGTAGGAAAATTAGATAGGAAGAGGAGATGGGGTAGTGTTTTTAGTCTTTAAGGCTCCTGTGATTTTTCAGAGAATGCCCTGAGTCTGAAGACTCTATGTACACAATCTCCACATCCCAGTGTTAAGCCTCCAAAACTTTATTGAGATCCTTGTAAAACCCTCTCTTCAGTGTCAGCTGGTAGTGTTGGAAACTCACAGGAGGACACGTAATTGTTTTGGGTAGGCCAAGATGCAGCCAGTGACACATATAAAAGAATGTGAAGAGACTGGCTGCAAAGAGGAAACACTTCTCTAGGCCAAATGGTAACTAGCCTGTGGCTGAACTTCATCATAGTCTAGGTTGACTCTGGGCACTGATGTTGAATTCCTGTCGTGCTGTTACATGGGAAACCAAAATAATGTGCCTTCTAAGATGGCTTGTAGTATCTTTGTCTCCCTGAGATGTTGGGTCTGAAATAGAATGGATAGACATTTAAAAAAAAGATCTCAGCTTTTCATATGTAATCACTGTCTAATATTCCAAGAAAAGCCAACAAGCTGTCTCAGTTCAGTGGGCAAAACGTGGTGAGCAACAGACGATTTTAAGGACTCTTATATTGAGTTTTTATTAAGAAATAAACTAGAACAAGGGAAGAAAGAACTGTTACCAAAGCTAAGGGCTGGAATGCAGCACAAGCTGCTTTTAATTGTGCCTGTCAGCCACTTTGCTCTCTACCCCCCTTGCTCTGTTTTTATTTTCTTCCCCTGCTCTGCATTCAGAACCAAGTTTGGCGTGTTTTGAAAGCTCACTATGTGCCCTGAAGCTCTTTTCTCTGGAAATGGCATAGAATTGGCCACTTAATACTGTTTCGCTCCACTATTGTTCTCTTTTGAGCTGAGTCAAGTGTCCTACAAGTTGGTTTGGGCTCCATTTCCACCTCTGTTGCTCTATGGGTATATCATTTAGCCTCGTTTTCAGTTTAAGGGGTTCTAACCTTGAGGGAACAAAAAAAAAACCCCTTCAGATGTTTTCTTTGTAAACTTTCAGTTGATTTCAGCTTGATTTTGGCCACAAACTAAATCATTCAAGCATCATCAGCGTTGGCCTACTCTTTTGCTTTCCCTCTTGTCCCACCTTTAGTCCTGGGACCCCACAGTTATCTCGTCCATGCTAGTGCTTGCCTAGAGCATTGCAGATCAAAGCATCAAAAGATAACCGAGGCTTTATGCTTAGAATCTTTAAAAGCTTTATATGGCTTCTAAACAGCAACAGGGTAAAATCTGTACGCCTTGGCATGCCCAATGGATCTTTAATACGTGACTCGAGCGCACTTTTTACAATCCAGTGTGGTGGGTAACTTGCCTACACAGGATATATACTTCCACACCACCAGGTCTTTGCTCACCCCAGAAACTCTGCCCTGAAGACCCTTTCCCTCACCTACTTCCACAGCCTTCACGGTCCAACTAAATATGTCACTTCCTCTGTACATTTGACTTATACCCCACTCCCAAATTAATTTTTTCTTAATGGTGATTTCAGTGAAGATAGGCCAGGTTTTTACTGTAGTAACAAATGGCTTCCAAATCTCAGTGATTTAAGTTTAGTTCTCCTTTTTGTTACATGTCTATCTCAAATCAGCTGTGTCTCTCCTCTGAACCATGTTCACTCTGGGGCCCAGGCTGACAGAGCAGCCTTTATCTGCGATATTGTCAGTTGGCATAGGGAAAAGCAACGGCTCTTAGCTCAGAAGTGGAGAGTGTCAATTCAGTTCATATTTCCTTGGCCACGAGAAATCCTATGTCATTAGTCATTGTAATGAGGAAGTATAATATACACCCAGAAGGGAGCAGATGATATATTTTTAAATTGAGGAATAATTGACATATAACATTATACTAGTTTCAGGTGCACAACATAATGATTCAATATTTGTATGCACTGTGAAATGATCACCACAGTGTCTAGTTACCATCTATCACCATATAAAGTTACAAACGTTTTTTCTTGTGGTGAGAACTTTTAAGATTTACTCTCTTGGCAACTTTCAAATATGCACAGCAATATTATTGGCAGTCGTCACCACGCTATACATTACTTATTTTGTAACTGGAAGGTTGTACCTCATGACCCCTTTTACGCATTTTGCCCACCCCCAATGCCCCTCCCCTCTGGCAACCACCATTCTTTTCTCTGTAAGTTTTGTTATGTTATGTTTGTTTACTTGTTTTGTTTTTAGATGCCACATGTAAGTGAAATCATTCAGTATTTGTCTTTTTCTGTATGACTTATATCACTTAGTATAATACCCTCAAGGTCCATTCATGTTTTTGCAAATGGCAAGATTTCATTCTTTTTATGGCTGAGCAATATTCCATTATATATATAGTCAAAGGGCATAAAGTTTCGTTAAGGCAAAATGAATTAGCTCTAGGGATCTGCTGTACCTGTAGTCAACAACAATAGAGGTATATATACATACACATGCCACTTAGGTTTTTTCCATATCTTGGCCATTATAATAATGCAGAACATAGCGGTGCATATATCTAATTATATCTAATTAGTGTTTTTGTTTTCTTTGGATAAGTGCCCAGAATTGGAATTGCTGGATTGTATGGTTGCTTCACTTCTATTTATTTATTTATTTTGCGGTACGCGGGCCTCTCACTGTTGTGGCCTCTCCCGTTGCGGAGCACAGGCTCCGGACGCGCAGGCTCAGCGGCCATGGCTCACGGGCCCAGCTGCTCCGCGGCATGTGGGATCCTCCTGGACCGGGGCACGAACCCGTGTCCCCTGCATCGGCAGGTGGACTCTCAACCACTGTGCCACCAGGGAAGCCCCACTTTTAATTTTTTGAGGAATCTCCATACTGTTTTCCATAGTGACTGCACCAATTTTACATGCCCACCAACAGTGCACAAAGGTTCTCTTTTCTCCACTTCTTCGTTAATACTTGTTATTTCTTGTCATTTTGATGATAGCCATTCTAACAGGTTTGATGTGGTATCTCATTGTGGTTTTGATTTGTATTTTCCTGATGATTAGTGATATTGAGCATCTTTTCATGTGCCTGTCTGCCATCTGCTTGTGTTCTTTGGAAAAATGTCTATTCAGAATTCACTGCCCATTTTTTCAGTCAGATTGTTGTTTTGCTCTTGAGTTGTATGAGTTCTTTATGTATTTGGATATTAACCCCTTATTGGATGCATGATTTGCAAATATTTTCTCCCATTCCATAGGTTGCCTTTTCATTTTGTTGATGGTTTCCTTTGCTGTACAGAAGCTTTTTAGTTTTATGTACTCCCACCTGTTTATTTTTGCTTTCATTGCCTTTGCTTTTGGAGTCAGATCCAAAAAATCATCACCAAGACTGATGAAAACACCTATGTTTTTTTCTAGGAGTTCTACAGTTTCAGGTCTTACATTCAAGTCTTTAATCCATTTTGAGTTAATTTTTGTGTATGGTGTGTGATAGTAGTCTAGTTTCATTCTTTTGCATGTGGCCGTCCAGTTTTCCCAGCACCATTTATTGAAGAGACTGTCCTTCCCCATTGTATAGTCTTGCCTCCTTTGTCATAAATTAATTGATCATACAGGTATACCTCATTTTATTGTGATTGATTAAAAAAATTTTTTTCAGACATTGATTTTTTTTACAAATTGAACGTTTGTGGCAACCCTGCATCAATCAAGTCTGTCGGCACCATTTTTCCAACAGTATTTGCTCACTGTGTTTCTGTGTCATATTTTGTTAATTCTTGCAGTATTTCAAGCTTTATTATTATTATTATATTTGCTATGGTGATATGTGATTAGTGATCTTTGATGTTACTACTGTGATTTGCTGAAGGCTTAGATGATGGTTAGCAATTTTTAGCAATAAAGTATTTTTTAATTAAGATATGTACATTGTGTTTTTAAACATAGTGGTATTGCACAGTTAATAGACTATGGTATAATATATATATATATAACTTTTATATGCACTGAGAAACCACAAAATTTGTGTGACTCTATTGCGATATTCGCTTTCTTGTGGTAGTCTGGGAACCTAATCCATAGTATCTCTGAGATATGCCCATATATGCATGGGTCTATTCCTGGACTCTCTATTCTGTTCCCTTGATCTATGTGTCTGCTTTTATGCCAATACCATATTGTTTTGATTACTATAGCTTTGTAATATAGTTTGAAATCAGGAGCGTGATGCCTCCAGCTTTATTTTTCTTTCTCAAAGTTACTTTGGCTATTCAGGATCTTTTGTGGCTCGATACAAATTTTAGGATCATTCTATTTCTGTGAAAAATGCATTGGAATTTAGATAGGAATTGCATTGAATCTGTAGATTGCTTTGGGTAATATGGACGTTTTAACAATAATTGTTCTTCCAGCCCATGAGCACAAGATATCTTTCCATTTATTTGTGTCTTCTTCAGTTTCTTTCATCAATGTCTTATAGTTTTCAGTGTATGGGTTTTTAATATCCTTGATTAAATTTATTCCTAGGTATTTTATTCTTTTTGATGCAATTGTAAATGGGATTGGTTTCTTAATTTCTCTTTCTAATAGTTCATTGTTAGTGTATAGAGATACAACAGATTTTTGTAAATTGATTTTGTACCCTGCAACTTTACTGAATTTGTTTATTAGCTCTAACGGTTTTTTGGCAGAGTCAGGTTTTCTATACATAAAATCATGTTCTGCAGGTAGTGATAGTTTTGCTTCTTCTTTTCCAATTTGGATACCTTTTATTTGTTTTTCTTGCCTAATTGATGTGGCTAGGACTTCCAGTACTATGTTGAATGAAAGTGGTTAGAGTGGGCCTCCTTGTCTTTTTCCTGATGTTGGAGGAAAAGCTTTCAGCTTTTCACCATTGAGTATGATGTTAGCGGTGGGCTTGTCATATATAACTTGTATTATCTTGAGGTATGTTCCCTCTATACCCACTTTGTTGAGTGTTTTTATCATAAATTGATGTTGAATTTTGTCAAATGCTTTTTCTGCCTGTATTGAGATGATTATGATTTTTATTTTGCATTTTTTTAATGTGGTATATCATGTTCATTGATTTACAGATATCGAACCATCCTAGCATCCCTGGAATAAATCCCACTAGATCATGGTATGTGATCCTTTTACCGTATTGTTGAATTTGGTTTACTAATATTTTGTTGAGGATTTTTGCCTCTATGTTCATTAGGGATATTGAACTGTAATTTTCTTTTTTTGTTGTGTTCTTGTCTGATTTTGGTATCAGGGTAGCGCTGGCCTCATAAAATGAGTATGGGGGTATTTCCTCTTTCTCAATATTTTGGAAGAGTGTGAGAAGGATAGGTATTAAATCTTCTTTGAATGTTTGGTGGAATTCACCAGTGAAGCCATCTGGTCCTGAACTTTTATTTGTTGGGAGGTTTTTGATTATTGATTTAATCTTACTAGTAATCAGTGTATTCAGATTTTCTGTTTCTTTATGATTTATTCTTGAAATATTGTATGTTTCTAAAAATTTATCCATTTCTTCTTGGTTGTCCAATTTGTTGGCATATAATTTTTCATAATAGTCTCTAATGATCCTTTGTATTTCTTTTGTATCAGTTGTAAGTTCTCTTCCATTTCTGACTTTATTTATTTGAACTCTCTCTCTTTTCTTCTTGGTGAGTCTATAGCTAAAGTTTTATCAATTTTGTTTGTCTTTTCAAAGAACTAACTCTTAATTTCACTGATCTTTTCTATTGTTTTTTTCGTTTTTATTTCACTTATTCCACTCTGATCTTTGTTATTTCCTTCCTTCTACTAACTTTGGGCTTCATTCATATTTCTTTTTCTAATTCCTTTAGGCATAAAGTTATATTATGTATTTGAAGTTTTTCTTGTTTCTTGAGGTAGGCCTGTATTGCTATGAACTTCCCTTTTAGAACTGCTTTTGCTGCATCCCATAGATTTTGGTATGTTGTGTTTCCATTTTCAATTGTCTTATGGTATTTTAAAATTTCTTCTTTGATGTCTTCATTGATCCATTGATTGTTCAGTAGAATGTTGTTTAATTTCCACATTAATCATGATTTTTCCCATCTTACCGTAATTGATTTCTAGTTTCATACCATTGTGGTCAGAAAAGATGCTTTATGTGATTTCAGTCTTCTTAAATTTATTGAGACTTGTTTTGTGGCCTAATGTATGACCTATCCTGAAGAATGCATTTGTAAGAATATGTATTCTGTTGCTTTTTGATGCAGTGTTCTGTATATATCTGGCAGTGTTCCAAAGGAAGGGATCTCATTCAGCACCTAGTTTCAGGCTGATTGGAAGCCAGATCCTCATGCAACAGCTTTCAAAGTATGCAAATATATACAGTCCTCTGGGACCACAGTTGTAAACCCTGTTGGCCTCCAGACCAGGAGATCTGGAGGTGTCTCTTGGGTGACAGTTGGAAAAATTGAGGCTCCTGATGAGGATATAAGCTCCTTTCTGTGAGGTACTGGTGAGCCGTAGCAAAGCTGAGGGAGAGTGTGGAGGTGGCACCCCTTGGCCTACATTCCCTGATAGCACCACTGTACCTTTTAGATTTGTGACAAACTTGAAGCATGTCCCTCAGGCTGAAGCTCCAGGACAAGTAAATAGACCTTTTTCACAGAGACTGGGGGTGTGTTTCAGTTTGCTGTCTGTGCAGTGCCCTGAGGATGGTAGCCTTCCTACAACTGTCTCTGATTGTCATAGTCCTGTGGGACCCAGGAATGGAAGGCCCCCTGGCCACCGGAGCCAGGCAATCAAGGAGTGTCCCCTGTGTGCACTGCATGTGCCTGCTAGCTCTGGCATGGCAGAGGGGGAGCATAGGCTTGGTGCCCACCTGCTGGTTTTAATGAGGCAGTGGGAGCGTGCAGGGCCGTGGCACACCCGTTCTTTTTAGTGAGGCAGTAGTAGAGTACAGGGTTGGAGTAGGCTGCACCTGCTGGCTTTATTGGGGCAGTGGGAATGTTCAAGGACTGTGCACACCTGCTGGGACTAGCAAGGTAGAGGGAGAGTGCAAAAATGGCACCTACCAGTGCCTCCATCCTCAGAGAGATTCCCAAAGGGCCCCTACCCCTTTGGCAGATGCTCCAAGATTAGCAAGCAAACCTTCACAAATAGTCTAGGCACCCTTCAAACTGCTGGTTCTGCACTGGGCCTTGAAGCAAGTGAGTCTGCATGTGGACCTTTTAAGAGTAGTATCCCAGTTCCTTATAGCCCTTTGGATTTCCTAGATGTAAGCCCCATTGGTTGTCAAAGCCAGACACTTCGGGGGCTTGTCTCTCCAGTGCAGGTCCCAAGGGTTGGGGTACCTGATGAGGGGCACAAACCCCTCACTCCTCAGAGAGATGCTTCAGACTTGTGAGATCCCTCCCTATCGTGGGTCACCATGCTGGGGGTGGGGCTCTTGGCGAGACTGCGCCTCTGCCTCACCTACCCATCTTGACGTGGACCCTTTATCATTCATTGTGAAGGAGCTGTTCGTTTAGCTTCAGGTCTTTTTCTGGGTGAATTGTTCCATATGTAGCTGTAGATTCAGTATGTGCACGGGAGGAGGTAAGTTCAAGATCTTCCTATGCTGCCATCTTCGACCTGAAATGAGCAGCTGGTATTTTGAATATTAATATAATCAACTCAACAATTCCCCATAACACGTTGACTGTGTCACAGTTGTATTTGTTGTATAGTGTTATCGTTTATTTATCTTGTCCCTCTGACCTATGAATTCATTAAGAGCAGGGAATGCGTTTTATTTATTTGTTTATTTCTGTAGTTTACACTGTACCATCAAGGCACATAAGAACTGCTTAATTGTTTGTTGACTAGCTGGATACATAAATGAATAAATAATTTTTGGCTTGAATACTGTTGGGACATTTGAAAAAAAACCTACTCTATTTAAAATTGCTCAGTGTCTTGGGAAAATATATTTTTGGTGAAATATCCTTATGGTGTCTTTTGGACCTTCTGCCTCTGAATTATTTTCACAAAATATGAAATCTTTGGGAGCCAGTTGGCATCATCATTAGTCACTGGAAATCATCCATTTGACACCAGGAAAAATACAGGCATGACACTTTTTTTTTTAAGTCTTAATTGAGTTTGTTATAGTATTGCTTCTGTTTTATGTTTTGCTTTTTTGGCCCCGAGACATGTGGGATCTTAGCTCCCCGACCAGGGGACCAGGGATCGAACCTGCACCCCCTGCATTGGAAGGCGAAGTCTTAACCAATGGACCACCAGGGAAGTCCCACAGGCATGCCACATTTCTCACAAAGGCTCTGAGTTAGTGAAACACCCAGCAGTAAGAATACATCATTGTCCTTTCTGTTCTGAGATGACACAGTTGATGATCTCCCCTTCTCCTGTTTGGATAAGGAGCAGTCTTATACAAATGAGCCTTTGAATACTGAATCAAATTTGTCCATAGGACAGGGCTAGCTTCTCACAAGTTGCTGTGTCAATGATGTTGCTTCAAGTGACTCCAAGAAACTCTTTCTGCTTCCAAATGATCATTCCTATAGTGTTTCAGTGCCCCAGATTTCCCCATAAGAACTATTACCATGCTCGATTCATTGTTCAGTCGTTCCACCTTGCTTCTGCTCCTTTCTTTGCGTCCTGCGCAACACCGCCCCCCCTCGCCCCCCCGCCCCCCCCTCGCCATAGAGGCAGCAGTTATAGCTTGGCTCTTTTTTCCCACTCCCTAACACAGGCACCTTACATTTTTATAATTTAATTTGGGTTGAGAAATGTAATTTATGTGACAAAAATCTATGCATTGTATACTGGGTGTTAGGCACTGTGCCTTCTCTTAATAAGTTCACAGTCTAGAGGGGATGATAGACAATTAAACCAAGAATTAAAGTGTGGTGTGATAAACGCTATGACAGAGGCATTCCTGGAGTGCACAGACATGGGCCGTCTATAAGGTGGAGGTGGTCAGGAGATGACATGAATCTTGAAGGATGAATGGGTGTTGTGTAACTCAGCAGTAGATATTTGAGACTGAGGAAATACCAGGTATATCCATATAATATATAGCATGGGGGTGAGGAAGATCATTTGAACGTTTTGTGAGCTGGCTGGAGCCTAGGATGGCAATTCTAGAAAATGATGCCAGGTCATGGAGAGTCTTGTTTAAGACATTAATGGAGGCACTGGGTCTTTAGATTTGAGTTTTAGCATGTTAATTTCAGGTGGAAGAATACAGCAATGAGTATAAGTGGAGAGAGGGCATTTCTGGTGGTGAGAAATGATATGAACTATAACCTTAGCAGTTGGCACTTAGAAGTCATTGTGAAAGGAGGAAGTAGAAATAGTAGAATCTGACTGCTTGCATGTGGTGGTGGGGCCGAAGGGAAGGAGGGAAATAGAGGAGTCTAGGAAAGCTAACAGGTTTCTCAGTTGGGTAAATAGATAGTAGTATCTTCTACCCAGATGAAACTGTGTACCAGGTTAAGGGGCTGAAGAGTAAGAGAGGTTAGGGTGAGAGGTGAAATAATAGGTTTTAAAATAGTGGATTTAAGGAGCTTTTATGACACTTAAATGGTGATATGTTGATGTCTAGTAGGTAACTGAGTTAATAGGTTTAGAGTTCAGTAAAAGGGAGTTGACAACTACCAGTGCATAGATTTCAATTAAATTCAATGGAGAGAGGGAGAGAAAATGAGAGAAAGATTGAGAGGGAGTAAAGAAGGGAGGAAGGGAGAGAGAAATAAAACTATGATCTGAGAAGGGAAAACAAGAGTCCTGTATCAGTCAGGGTTTTAGGTTCCAAGTAATAGGAATTGAGATTGAGCCCTAGTTGATTTAACTAGAATTGCCAGGAAGGCAGGAGGACCAAGCATGGAGGTTTCATAACCAGGATAAGTGCTCCAAATCATGCCAGATGACTGTTATGCTGCAGATCCCACTGCTGCTAGTATCATAGATTTCACCAACTCTGAGCCACTTTTTACCAGGATGGATTTAACAAGGTTCCTGCTTTATTCTGTTTTTAGTTTTTATATCGGGCAGGGTTCTGACAGGAAATAGATGGCATGCTCAAAAGGGTCACAAAAGAGAATTTGAAGAAGGGACTAGATATTTTCAAAGGAACAAGAAGGGATGGTGAAGCACTCGAGCTAGCAACAGAAAGAAGACTCTACCACCCCTAGGACTGAAGGGGGGTAGGAGGGAGCAATTACAAAAACCCAGCAAGATCTAGTACCATAGGAGTGAGGCTGTGGCCTTACCTAGA